TTATTATTATTATTATTATTATTATTATTATTATTATTATTATTATTATTTCAGCATGTTACATACTTTCCTTTTATAACACATGAATATAAGTCAAGTTTCCATTGTATATACTACAAGTTTAGTTAGAGGATGTTCTGCTTCAAAGTGCTAATTACCAGTTTTCATTTTCTTATTTCCATATCCTCCAAGATATTATATAGAAGCTTTAGCATTTGATCATTATGTATATGTGCAAACTCTACAGGAAATGTAATTGATGAAGATGATTAGCTCATAATCAAAATGCATACTAATTATCTTTCATGTATACTAATTTGTTTGTGTTGTATGTCAATCCTCCAGTATTCTGTTAAGTTATATGAAGAACTTCAATAGAAATCAACAGAAAATTTTATCTTCAAGATCCTTATAAGAAAACACAACAACAGTACTTTTGTACTTGTGATTTTTTCTTTTTTTGATTTCTAGCTTATGTTCCATTGTTCTGATTAATGATTGTTCACTTTGTCGTTTTTAGTTGTGGCTGTTAAAAATGGACTTGATGCTTTGTCAATTCTTCAGGAGAGGAAAGGAGGATTTGACCTTGTTCTCACAGATGTTTACATGCCTGGTATGGATGGAATCACTCTCCTAAAGCACATCATGGCAGAATTCAAGCTGCCTGTCATTAGTGAGTGTCACCCTTCAGTTTCTCTCTCTCTCTCTCTCTCTCTCTCATTTTCATGAAGTTGGTTAGTTCTTTGGTGATTTCTATCCCTGACTGAGATCTATCTGATATGCAGTTATGTCAGCTGATGACAAAGAGAATGTCATATTGAAATGTCTAAAAGCAGGGGCTTCTTATTACATTAAGAAGCCAATAACCATGAATGATGTTAGAAATCTTTGGCAACATGTAGTTCTGAAAAGAAAAGAGACCATTATGGAACCGGAGAGGACAAGGAGCATTGAGGGAGAATCCGATCAGAGTGTGTTTAGGGAGGATATTGAGTGTGTATCCTCAGTGAATGAAGGGAACTGGAAAAAAGGAACCAAGAGAAATACAACCAGCAGCAACGACAACAAAGTGGTTGAAGTAGGTAAAAGTGTTTCCTTCACCACAAAGAGATCAAGGGTGGTTTGGACTACAGAGCTTCACCAGCAGTTCTTGGATGCTGTCAAAAAATTAGGCTATGAGAGTAAGTATTTTCTTTGTACTTGAAACATGGCAAATTATTTCCTTCTACTTGTTTCTCTCCTTTCTCTTCTTTTCCTTTCTCATATATATATATCTGCTATGTTCATATTTTTCTTGATCCAGAGGCTATGCCCAAGAAAATACTTGAGCAGATGGGTATATCAGGATTGACTAGAGAAAATATTGCCAGTCACTTACAGGTTCGTTTTAAACTTGAGTTTGAAGAGAATTGCCATTTGGATGTTGTTGTCTTCACGTTTCTATTATAAAAAATACGTTATTTCTTTTCTTCTTCATTTTTTTTTTTTTTCTGTTTTGCTTCATTCCACATCCCACAACTAATTAAGGATCAAAATTTTGATATGGGACATACCATATTGTATCGTTGGGGTCTCAATACATCTGTTTACAGGTATTTTGGACCCCCTCTTTTTTTAATAAAAAATATGTATAAAGCCTCCCCCAAAACCAAATTTTGAAAAAGAAAGCTAAAAAAAAATATATAGAATCCAATACACGGGATACTT